CTTTCCCCGCCTTCCACCGCTGTTTCCCGGGTTCGAATCCCGCCTGGACCAAAATGTGGATTGGGTTTTCAGTCCCTGCCTGATTCCGTGGGTTTTCCCCAGAATATTCTCCTGGGTTTTTCCTCCCACCTCTAAAACTGTAATTTCTTATCATTGTCTCCTCTCTAGCTTTATAGGTTTCGTCAGGCTTTCGGGCTACAGTGCCTAGGGCACTCTTTAGGAATCCTTGGTTTCAGTACCAAAAAAATATAAAATAAAAAAGAAATAAAAATAAGATAATGTGATTTTTGTTCACACACCGTAGTGAAATGAGGGTTAAACCTCAATTACAACAGCAGATAGCAGCTAGTGGTAGCGTACTGCATGACGCCACGGGAACGAGGTTATACCGCTAACGAGGTTGAAATGATATATAGCAGTGGCGTGTTGCCTCTGCTCGTCCCCAGCGCCATAAAACAGGACGCTGGGAATTAGGGCTAACATATGGAAGCGTATTTGTGACCGGCTCTAGAAAAATATGTCGCAAACAAATGAAAATAAATTGTAAGCTTGGAAAACCCACAATTACTTTGTTCAATGGTGAGACATCCGTATTGATAACTTTAATACGTTATTGTTCAAGCAACGTGCGTTTTGTTTCTGCCTGTTCAATGTTAATAAAACTGGTATGTTTCTCGGGGTATGTCTAAACAACGAGTGTGTTATTTTTCCATGAACATTGACTTTCATTAATTCAGATTCGGTCATACATGTATTGTTATTTTTTTTATCGTTCGCCCGTTTCTCCTAAATTTATATCCACAACATTACTGTTTCATATCATGACAAATCACTAGAAAGTGCAATTTGTGACCATTATTTGTGTGGTGCGCCCTCTATTGAAAGAACATTGAAGTAGACCGTTGGGCGCGTTTGTCTCCGTACGAGACCACTATTTTGTTTAGCGCGCCATTTTTTTCGACGGAAACTATTAGTTGACAACAGTGTGCAGGCACTTCTAATTTAGCGTAAAAAAAAACAGTTATTTCTTCCATTGCCAGAGGAATGTGTTGCTTTTGTTCCATGAAAATTGACTTTCAATGTTTCAATCATTTCATTTTAAATGTTGAATCTCCTAATGTTGCACATTAAGACGGATCACTGGACGAAATTTCAAATAAATACAATTGGGTTTTTTTTTTGGGGGGGGGGGTTCTCAGGGCAATATTTTTTTCGATGGGATTGAATATTTTTTTTTTTATTAACATGCATGTTATTGTTTTCTTTGTACTTGATTGCATTTTAGGGAGAGCCACCAGATAGTGATTAAGCCGTTCGCTTTTGGCAATCCTTCAGGGATGTTATCACTTTTTTTTCTTTGTTTTGTGTTACACTGGCTTGTTACCTTTAATGTTTGTATTGTGTTTACGTGTGTGTTCTTACATGAGAAAAAAACAAATGAAATGAAATGAAAAAACTCTCGGGTTAATGCCCAAACAATGAGTGTGTTGTGTTTCCACGCACGTCGACTTTCATTCGGATGGTACTTTTCGCATTTAAAACATTACATTGTTTCGGTGACATTATTGTTTATTGTTTGACGATTTCTTATGAAATTAAATCTCCGAATGTTACACATCTTGACAAATCAGTACGACAGGTATTTCATAATTTATTGCTCAAGCAACGTGTGTGTTGTTTCTGCATGTTCAATAGTTAGGCAGATTATCTGTAGACTGTGACTTCATTCAAGTAGGTTCTTCTCCGTGAAGACAAAATCTTACTAGACGGTGCATGAGTACGACAATTGCTTGTCTTAATTAATATCTTACAGGCTTGTGCTTCTGTAGGTTTTCCCGGCTATTTTAAAAGAATTTGCATTCAAATTCACCAACTATAACATTCAATTTCGTCCACGAAAAATTTCACACGCTTTTACCAAACCAATTTAGTTATTTAGTAACATTCAATTTCAAAGTTTGGTCACACTCTTCAGTTACCGGGGGGAGAATACTCGTCATTTCAGATCAAATTCGTCTAAGTTGTTGCCGAATGGCACCAATCAGAGATATAATTCGTCTTATATCAATCAATGAGACGAATTTGGTTTCTGAATAACAAGGTTTGGCGTGTGCTCACAGTTTGAATTTGCTTGAACTGAATTTGAAATATTGTCTGACAGTGACAAAAGACGAAATTAAACATTGGAAGCGCACTAAACCGATGTTGCTAGACGAATTTGAAACAAAAAAGAATCAGTGAATTAGAACGATAAACGTTTTACTTTTAAAATAGCCGGGAAGACCAATCACATGCACTACTAGTCGAAATTTCAGTCCAGTACGAAAATAACTTATTGTTCAAACAACGTGTGTGTTGTTTCTGCGTGTTCAATATTTTTAATAGGTACGTGTTCTGTGGAATGTGACTTCATTAAGGCAGGCGTTTCTCCGTGATGACAAAAATTAATTTTCGGCGACGATAACAATTGTTAAACGAGTACGGGAAGCGTATATGCACGGGCTCTAAAAAAAGAAGAAGGTTGGTTTGCATGTCACACTAGGGTAATGTGCATTCAACATCACAATGCTGTTATGTGGAATTGGAGAAACATTGTGTCACAAAATGGTGATGTGAACCAGCTTCATTTTTTTCGGGCAGCAATATACGTATCCCGTACCCGCACCATTTGTAATGGTCACTATTTTCATGAATACGGATACGAGCACGAAAAACGTACTCGAGAATGGGAACGAGTACGGACCGAGTACGAGTGCGAAAACAACATACTCAGGTACGAGTTCAGTACGACTACGGTACGAGTAGCCTACTAAGTGACTACTGCGGGAACTGTATCTGTGAACTTGCTCAACATGCGCATTAATTGTATTCAATTTATTTGCAAAATGTCGTACTATGATAGGAAATAGTTGCCCCAACACTTCGCTATAATTCCATCGTCAGTGAATCGTTCACTGTGAACTTTATAAAGCCATGTCTCTCTCAACACGCGTTGACACATGACTGAAACCACACGGCAAGTATGAGAAGAACCTGTCAAAAACACGACAAGCGAACCCCTACCAGACCGCTGCGTCGCTCGCGGGTACTGCGTCTACCCCCGGGAGGTACACAAGACTTGATTAAGTTTTCGCACCCGATACGAGCTGGAGCGGCGGGGTGCCACGGTGAAAATCACGCAGGCGTGGGCGCTCGACTTCACTGCGTGAGCTGGTGTGTGTAGACGCGGTCCAAACAAGGCTGCCTCGTGGAGCTGTCTTCGAGAGCACAACATTAATTTTAAAAGAACCCACAAAATTGTACTCAATCAATTCAGAATGGCTATTCACTGGACGTCTTTTCTTAAATCTGGTCTGCACCTTGGGCTTGATTTATAGCCCATTCATTGGTGTTATGGGGTAATCATATACGATAGCACTGCCCGACTAGGTCAAAAGTGACAGTTAGTCAGTCAGTCAGTCAGTCAGTCAGTCAGTCAGGTACAAAGAGGACCGTAGGCTGGCTCTCTGTGACCAGCAAAAATAAATCCAAAAATGTGTATTTGTTAAAAACAAAGTTTGGCCCATTAACATCTGTTCTGAAAATTCATTTAGTAAATTTATTGAAATAAATTCATCTAAATTTTATTCTAAATTTATTGAAATAAATTCATCTAAATTTATTTAAAGGTCACGCTGTGATACATTAAAACAATGTTAATTGAAAAAGATTTCCCATACGTAATGATAAATTGGGGATATTAACTTATTTTTGTCTTGGTGAATATAATTATCCAGTTGTAGGAACTCATATAACGCTTATTTATGTTTCATTTAGTTAAAATAGAATAAAACCCAAACAACAAAAAAAACGAAAATGAAAACAACATACAACACCAACCCCTCACATTAAAATATAATAAAAAATTATAATAATAAAAATAGGGAAATAGAAATTACCTTATCTTTTAAGTAGGCCCCCTCCTCGAGCCCCTGGGGAAAAAAAACTACTACATGCAAACGAAAACCACCAGAATGTTTAGGTTATTCACTGCGCTGACAAACACAATAGAAAAGTGGAATGTATAATCATGTAAACTCCATGTCATAATTAAAAGGTAGTGGCGGAAATCGCTGAATACTCCATTCGTCGGGACAATGCTTCATCGTATCCCTGGGCATAGGGCGGCAGATGGATAAAAAATAATATCCACTTAAATAAAAATTGCGCAGACTATTCATAACGGCTGGTAAGGGGCTACGGGTTTTTAGTTTACATTTTACAATGATCTATTTTTTTGTGTAGGGAGGAAAGGGGGATGGGGGGAGGGTTAATGCGATCATCCTCATCAATAGAGGGCGATATATACCATCATGTCAATTTGTTTCCTTCGGCATACTGAAGGAGAGCATTGTCCATTTTCCCTAGTAGTGCAAACATAATGATTTGACGGCTGATCATAGACTAGAGTTCATACATTCCTCGGTGCGTGCAAGCAAATCTTTCCCTGCGCGGTCGTCCAATCATGGAGGTAGGAAATAAACGCAGGTCGGTATTTCTCGACATTGGAAAGTTCTATGGCAACTGAACTCCTTTAAAATAATGACCTCCTCGATATTTTCTCGCTCTCTCTTCTGTCTCTTTCTCTCTCTCTTTTTTTTTTTTTTTTAACCCTGGGGGCGAACACCCCACCAGAACCGAGAATCTGCAAGCCGACCCGCCATTAAGTCTGGCCGCTCAAAACCCACTCGGCAGGACACCTTTAAGCCTCTCGAATACTTTCCTAAAACCCCTTGATTTCGGTTCGCGTCCATGGAAAAATAATTTGCGCTGTCCAGTCCACATGAAAAGCCCTAGGGTCCGCCCGCATCGTTTGGTCTTGCCGCGCGAGCCGGCCCCCTAAGACCCTCCAGATCAGGGTTTGTGATTGGTTGACGCGCCGCTGGTACCCAGGGACGTGTAATCTTATCCAAGGTCGGATTGGTTGACCTGTTATTCATTCATTGGTTTACGGACGATCATTGAAGATATCCTGTTTATTACATGTGCGGCTGTATATATTGCCTCGAGACCGTAAACAGCTGTTCTGCCTCCGATGTTTCTGTGACGTTTGCATCAATATACTTTCGCAAAGTTCTTGGTCAAAGCAGATTTGCGTTCTCTGAAGCTTAGTGTTATTGGAGTCTTCAATTATAATCACAGTTTATGTATGAGTTATTCGGGGGCAAGACGACAAAAAGCGGATACCCTCGCAAAGAAAATGTGGGAGATTGCCTGCTATTGATCAAGCAACGTATTTATCACCGAGTACTACCATAAAGCTCAGTGGATATACGAACTGCTGCAGCAAACCTGTACCGTTCACAGTGGTATGCATATGCCGGTATCAGGAAAGAGTGAAAATGCAAGTGCTTGAAAATAATATAGTTGTACTTTTTGCAAGGTTCTGAAGTTGCTGGTGGTAAGCTCTCAATTGTTATTGCCATTCAAACTGTGTTTTTGGGGACGTATTTGAACTCCTGTGTGAACTTTAGTCAGTTGTCCTGTTCGCCTTCTTTGGAAGGACATAATTCTTTTCTCCGATGGAATCGCTGTCGCAGAGTTACAACAGAATGGAGCATTACTACAACTCCACGGGACAAGCTCCGGTCTACACGACTTTACTGGACACGCCGCCCCGAGGCCCAGCTCCGAACCGCCCGTACATGGTCAGCGCGTCGGCGCTGGGACGACTAAACGGGATGATGGCGTGCTTGTCCGGGGCGCGGCCCGGCGGGGACGGCCCGCCTAGCTCCGGCAACACTCCCCCCTCCTCCAACCCGCCAAACTGCGGCGAGGATGACGCTGATACCCTACAGCGTCTGGACTGTCAGCACTGGCTGCAGAGACAGTCGGGGTATGCCTCGGCTCATCACACGATTGACGGAATCCTGGGCAAGGGGACGAGACAGGAGATAGACCTGCTGCCACAACCCGGGTCACACAGGGTGCCACAGCCCCGTATGGATCTCTCAGCGAAAAGTCCAGCAAGTAGCAATGGGTCTTCCAAAGGTATGTTAACGTACCCCCCTTTTCTCCGCCCCTTCCCAAGTCCATTGGTTTAAGTAATAAAGAAATGCCATTTTTAGTGCTTCTGCTAGGAAGATAATTTGATAATTGAAGCATCTAAGAAAAATAACCATTTTATTTTCAAAGCAGAAGGCCTACATTTGTGTTCACAACTTCACCTGCCTTTGAGAATGTGACTTTGTGAGGAAAGGACAATGAAGCCTCTTTTAAAAAAAATATACTCCCCGGAGAAAAAAAAAACACCCATCAATCAAAACAAACAATTGCTCATTTGACCTTCTTGATCTTCAAAGGTGTTTCCATCCAGGTTAGCATAAGGTAATTTGAACACTTGAAACTGTCCTTTAATTTATTAAGTTACAATTCAAAAGAAGGACAGTTTCAAGAGTTCAGGTTGCCAAATAAGTAGTGGCGTAATCGTAGCAAGTACGTCTCTGTTTTCCGAAAGACTTGTGCTATGACTTGGACGTTTATCATGTTTATAAATCACAACACAGACATGTTTCCTTTACAATTGCAGTATAAATCAAACGATTAACACGATTAAACCATAGACACTCTGTGATTTGATATCTAAGTGTACCCGCACGACAGTGATTCAATATTGTTGTCAGTCTGGACACAACAATTTGCAGTAAACGAATTGTTTATAAACGACCTAACGAGATAATGATATTAAGTGCATAAGCGGAGACAATATCTCCTCCCCGCAAATTATGAGTTTGAACAGCGTGGGCTAGGACGATAAATTACCGAGCACCACTCTGCGAGCTCACGCTAGTCTTGTTTCAAGTTCATCTTCATCCAGACGGAAACCATTCATGTGGTATCAGATGGTTATGTGGTTTACACATTTTATTTCGACATCGTCCCGTCTCCCTATGTGGGAGGGTTGTTTTGGGTTTGTTTTTGCACTCAATAGGGGACGTTGAAGAACAGAGGACAATAGGGCTCAATTGACGAAGGTCCCCAATTGACATCGCGTACTAAACATATGGGAGGTCTTCCGTTAAAGTACATAATAAAAGAGGGACAATAGGAGGTCCACGATTGAAGGTGTTTACACACTTGTGTGAGTGTGTTGGTTTTATTTGGTGGTGTGGAAAATTGGTATGGATTGTCCTTATACTTATACTTTTACTGAGTAACTTAGAGCAAGTCCTTGCTGTATGGTTGTTTTACAATATTGGCATTTGGTGCCTAGGATGGCGTAATGGTATAGCAAGAAGGTCTCGGCAACCGTGGAGGGAGGAAATGCTTCAATTAGCCAACTACCGATGTTATGGGGTCCGTTTTTAATGTGAGATTTATCTAAAGAACCCCCAGCCCACACCCCACCAGTTTGATTCGAAACCGGGTCACACAAAAGACGAGGACAGTACCACTTTTTTTAAAACGTCCACACCAGTTGGGCCTAACTGTATCAGATATCGTGTTGCGAATGGCCTAGCAGTTTCAATTAAAGGGAAGATGGATCCCATTAATGGAAGAAACTAGATCACCTATCCGTGAATATCAGCCTTGAATTTCGCTATCATTAGATCATATTATTATTCGCAATCCCTTCCAGTATTCCCGTAATGTCTTTTCAAGATGTCATTTCTCTCTTAATTGAATAAATGCGCTCTGTGCACTTCTCCAACAAAATACATTGAAACATAATTCCGGATTGTTCCGAAATTGTATTTCCCGAGTTCAGTCACCCCTCCTTTTTTTTTTCAAGCCAGTTTTGACCTTCAGTTCTTTCCAGCTCCTGTGTTCCAAGTGTTGTTAGTGTCACATGATACAGTTTTGGCAAAACGTGACAGAAGACGAAAATATGGTGCTGTTTTTCTTCATAATAAATATCACATCTGGAAAACGCATGGTACTCTGTTGCTGCGGGTTGGCCTGTAATATTAATCACCATAACAGTCCACAATATCAATTCACTCGACAAAGTGTAGTTACTGTTACAGAGGCTCGTATTTTCGGTGTGCATTGCGTGTTGACTTCTGAGTATAGTTGGTACATGGTTTAATTATTATCTAAAATAGATTCAAGGTTTCTTTTTTAATGGAAGACAACATTGAGGCTCGATGCCTCATGCAAAGTTTACTAGATTGTGATGACAACTATATGATTTTCTATATTTCGTTCGTGGTTTAGTTTCAGGTACAAAGGTATGTCGTTGAAACATCATGAAATGTAGATTACGCAATCGTTCAAAATAATGTATGACACTGACAGCAATACACTTCCTCTAGTGGCTGTTAGGGACCAGTGGCAGGCATGTATTTTGTTTCCAATTATATACACTCATTAAAATTGTGTGGTTTGTTTTTTCGAGTACAATTAAAGGGAATATACAACATTTGCAAACATCGACAAATAAAACTACCAATTTTTTACGAAATACCTTACTAGGATGTTGGTAAATGACAGTCTCAAGCCTCTTGTAAAATTATGGCACCTGGTGTGAAGTCATTTTCAAGAAAATGGTATTTTTGTAAACATTTCCAACGCTGGTCGGCCGACCAGCGTTGGAAAAACCTAACTATTTTTCAACTACTGCTCCAAATTTACCATTTTTTAGTCCATATTTTGTTTGCTATTGGTTACATGTACATGAACGGGTGCAGGCCAGCTAGACTGGTTCCCTTGCCTTACAATTTTCCATCATCTAAAAATTGATCCATTTTATCTTTTGTGGAGTCAGGGAACCAGACTACTTGAACATTTTTGTTTTTCTTGGTTTTCCAACCTTTTCGAACACAAAACGTCAAAAATGTAAGTGTAACAATATTTGATCTATTATACTAACCTCTCAAATAGTTCATTTCTGAAAATTACAGCAAAAGCCAATGATGTACATTCCCTTTAAGTTCACAGCATAATTTCTTCGCAACTGTAAGATCTTGACTGCCACTAATCGACAGAGGGCGTCGTTAATGAGAACACAATGATGTCTATTGGGTCGTAGCAATAAAAGCGTCTACCTGCAGTTCAAACTTTGAATGAATGTCACTTAAAAACATATCCATGAGGATCTCCGCGCCTCCAAACAGATCTTTATTTCATGCCCCTTTAAATAATTGGTAAATCCGCAGCTTGAATATGAAAAGAGATTCACTGCATGACATGGTGTTTATAGTGATGGGCACCTCCTTTTTGTAGAAGCAGTCCAGAAAACAAATACAGGTATGGATGTGTGGTTCTGAAAAGAACCAGTTGGTTTTGCAACCAACCGGTTCTTTTCAGATCCACACATCAGATCCACAGAGATGTCCATATGTTGTTACCGTAAACCCTCACTAGTTCATAGTAGTTAGTACCACCATGCAAAGAAGTGAATAATTATGTTTCAAGTTTCATGGTTCAACTTTATTTTCATGTTATAAAGCCAGTAGAAGATGCAAGATCCTAGACTAGAGTAATACATGTAGTATTGAGGGTCAGGCAACAAGCCGAAGCTTGCAATGGATCCAAAGCTCCGTCGGTAATAATTTTACGAATCATGGATTGTCAAAGTCGTGCGTTGCGGTTCTTACCAAACCCTTTACCTTTGCAGCAGTCAAGGTCTGTCAAGGTAACCCATGACTCCTGTGCGAGAAACCAAAAGGTTCCATTTCCGGAAGAAGAAGATGAAGTTACCGCGGTTTTCTTGTATTATGCCCTTCTGGGAATTGTCAAGGAAATACCTTTTTTATTTCTTAACTTCATCACAATGCGCTTGAATAACTCGGTCCCAATTTCATGCCACGTTAAAGTGCAGTTCTTTAACCCTGAAAAGTCTGCTGACAAACCGATCCTGTTTCCAATGTACAACGAAATGGTAAATACCAAAACCTATTTATTTCGTGTACATGTATATGATTATAATTAGCCTTAGTTTATCTCTGACAACTGATTATCAATCCGTTATAACATAATAGTCCACATTACTCTGCACTGATGGATCGTATGGATTGTAAAGTGGATTATGATCAGAATGACTGGTCATTAATTATGGATTAACTTCGTAATCTGGGATTAAAGAAACCATTGTAACAGATTAACAACCCACTACCAGCACATAATACAGTGGCAGCAATTGGCTTCCGTAAAAAAAAAAAAAAAAACTGAAGCTAATTATACAAAACATCACAATCTAATAATAGAAAACATCACAATTTTATAATAGAAAACATAGCAATTCTTTGGTGACAATCCCTTGTTTTGAACGTATCTGTGAAAACACTTGACTTCTGTTCAAGGTAGTAGAGAAATAAGTTCACATGTTCTTGCTAAAAATGTACAGTATGATCCCCAAAAGAAGATACAGAAACATCGTCAAAGATTTGAAACGGCTTGAAATGCAACTACGGAGTTGGCCACGAGTCGGTGGCTTTGAAATTACGACGTGTCTCTTTGATGTATACCGGTCTATAACTATCGCATCTGTCATCACGCGAGACGATCTGTTTCTCGTCACTCATATTACGTGGTCTCTGCGCTATATATAGAACACTTTCGACAGCAGAATATCTAAAACGTCAGATTGAAAATAGAGGGCGCCGCATACAATTTTATTTTTTGCCTAATGATAAACGACATTTACTTTCCAAACATTTAAAGGGAAAACAGATGTACTATTAAACATTGGACAGATAGTCCAAACATGGGAAAAAAATGTTTTAGCTAACAAAATGTGGACTTGGTAGTTTTATTTTTCGATGTTTTCAAATGTTCTATTTTCCCTTTAAATCAACATAATTCAACGAAAAAATTCTGCCGAAAGCCTCCACACAAACTTTATACCGTCACTTTCTTATGTTGCACTGAATACAATTGCTTCAAAATGTTATGGACTAGTCCCTGGTTTCCTCTTTTAGACTAGGGTATGAGTATCACTCAGGTCAAAGTTGAAGACAGATAATTCGTATATTGTGAGACTGTGGTGTTTTTTGGGGTTTTGGGGTTTTTTTACGTCTTCTCTAATGAGGGTAAACTCCAATCAGTGC